ACCAAAAACTTTGATTTACCAGTTCTTACTATTTTTACCTCTTAGCTATACAGTATAACAACATTCGAACGTAAAGCTTACGACTCACCTTGTCATGGATATTTGATATCTCGGAATTTTGAAGAATAGCCATCAAAACTGACTCTCTGGAAGGTTACAGTTCATTGAAGTCTTTTATGTCTTGGATTGAGGCCATTTCTGGATAAATAAAAGTAGTATTAGTAACATAATCTTAATAATTAATATCCTTTCTCATATACAATAGAATCTTCCCGTAAAAGACACCTAATTGCAGAGTCAAAGTATCCTTTAGGGAGAGCTGTCCCCTTACCAGAGAGTTACTAAATAGTAAATATGGGAAATTTTGAATCAAAATTGTCCTTTGTAGAGAGGTGTCCTCTCATGGAGGTTCTACTGTATATATATAAAAATGGAAAGAGTTCACACACACAAGGGATGTTTTTTTACTTTATTCTTCTTCATCCAAAATTTGTTAACAATTAATTAGAAGAATCATTAAAATAGTTTAAATTGTCAATTTTTCATCCAAAATTTTGTGAATTGAGCAATCTATAAGAAAATTTCAATTGTTAGTAGCTATAAGAGCTTTGGATTAAAATATAACTATCCAAAGTAAATGGAAATTATCTAAAAAAAAGTAAGTGAAGTAGGAAAATGATTATAGTGGTAATATTATTATTATTTCCTATCATATCACGCTTATTATTAAGAGAGTAATACTAGTACTCAGATACTATACTCTCAGATACATAATTTACATTTGTTAAAAGTCATATTCGTTTGGCAGATATTCATTCACTCGGAGAGAACAAAACGAAGCTGGATCATTCGACTAGTATTTTAAATTTAAAAACACGAAACACACTCAAGAAAATAATTTAAAATATAATATCAGAGTATAATAATTACCCAATAATATATTATCAATCTGTCACAATAATACAAATAACTAAATAACTGAAAAAAAGACAAATTTTCAAATCTAGAGTTATTACTACATATCGTTGAGTATATTTATGTATAAATTATGTATTTTATAATTCCCTCCCTGGACACTTTTATTTTTCCGTTTATCATTACACTTCACAATTCATACTTCATCCCTAAGGATAGGAATAGTCGTTATTTCTCCTTAAAATAATTATAATTACGATTTTTCGTTTTGTAAAAAAAAAACATTTGCGGTAAAACTTGTTAAACATCGTTCCATTTTTCAATATAGTTTTCGATTTATAGAAAACTTGTTTATAACATTCTTTTAAATTTGAAATAAAGTGCATATTGAAAAATAAATCATATGTACCGAAATAAAAAAAAAAGTTATTTACAAAACAAATAAAAGTTAATATTTTTGAAAATATAAAAAATACATAATATAGAATTAAAATATCTCTTTTGCGTATGTTTATGAAGTAGAAATATAAAACATATTCACAGAATAAGTTTGATTATCATTTGCAATCATCACATCAAGCTGTTTCTTCATACATTCTTCTTTTACAGAAGCAAGAATCCTCTATCCAATGTGATTTTCTTGGCTTGAAATGAAATACTTCGAAAGAAGCCAACAAAGATGTATTGTATTCGATTTATTTTAAACCAAAAGATACCCCCTCTTATCTCAAGGTAAAGTACTTTTTAATGTCTTAGATTGCCATCTCTGGTATCCTACCCGATTGTTTCGTGGTTTTAGTAGTGAAGTGAGTTTTTGTTTTTACCTATCTCATTTCTTTTTATTATGCGATTTGATTCAAAACTTTGTATTCATAAAAGGATATTTTAGTTCAAATACCGGTTTGATTTTTTTTACGTTAAATGATCAATAATTTATGGAAGAAGAAACAAAAGTCGGGCAGAAGAGCTTCTTATATTAAGAACTTTTGTTTTATCATCTATAACGAATAAAGAAATTATCATTGTCTTGATTTAATAGTTTATTCTTTTTATTTTATATCAAAATAAAACACCATATTAGCGAGTTTTAGAGATTCTTATATATATTTTTGGTTTGAACCATCTCAATTTGTAATACACGTTGTATGTGTGTGTGTGGGTGGATTCATTCTTATATTCATAAAACGATATTTTGGTTCAAATATCAGTTTGATTTTTCACGTTAAATAATTCAATAGTTTATTCTTTAAAATTCTTAGGTTAAAATAGTAATATTAGCGAGTTATAAAGAGTTCTTAAATATATTTTAATTGGAATTTTCTCATTTTATAATATATGCTTTAGTTCAACTTTGTATTTATAAAATTATATTTTAATTCAAATATCAGTTTATAATACTCGTAGTTTGCACGGTAAAATGATACAATAGTTTATTCTCAAAAAGTCTTATATTTAAATAGCCATATTTTGTCTCTATAAAATATTTAAATGCGAAAAACAGAATTCCCGGGATTATTAAAAAAATAACATTTTTTGTTTCGAGATGAATTCTTGAGTCGTGTACGTGAAGAGACAAAGGAATTTCTAAGGATCCTGAATGTCTTAGAACTCCATTGCAATACATAAGCTATGTCAGTTAAATTTCCATTTGTATTAATTTAAATTTCTGTCAATGCTACTAAATATTGTTTTTTAAAGAAAAGTAACTGCTTACTCTCGATTGCTTGCGCATATAAGTTTGTGTTAAGATCTTTCTTTCTCCTTTCCCTTTATTAAGAGTCGGTGGACGAGTGGATAACACCCTCGATTCCCGATAGCCATGAACCGGGATCGAATCCCGCGTTAACATTTTGTTTTAATATGTGAATAACCTTCACATAATATTCATTGTTGTAAATATCATAAACTAGGTTGCTCTTTTTGAGCGGTACCTAATAAAGTGATTTTGGAACCAGGGGAACCATTTCCCCTTATTTGATACATTATAAAATACATTGCTAATTATTGTTACTATTACTGTTATTTCTGTATATACCCTCTTCTACTTGGAGAATTTGTATAAGACCAAAAAGTCTTGATAAAGCTATGATTGTTGCTATGTTAGCTAAAAACTTATAATCCCCTATCTTATACCATTTGAGAAAATTTAACCAGAGAGATTGTGCAAATATTGGATCTCAAGCATTTGGGCTTTGACGTCCTTCTACAGAGAATTGATGACTAACTATAACAAATGTTAGTCATCGCTAACTACAACAAAAGTAATTAGTCATCAATTATCTTGTTGAAGGATGTCAAGGCCCGAGAATCCTTGATATCCATTATTAAGATATTTATACACGGAACCTATCCTTCTTGTTCTTGTTCCAAAATCACTTTATTAGGTACCGCTCAAAAAAGAGCAACATAGTTTATGATAATTGTAACAATGAATAATATATGAAGGTTATTCACATATTAAAACAAAGGGTCCAACGCAGGATTCGATCCTGTTCATGGCTGTCGGGAATCGAGAGTTTTACCCACTCGTCCACCGAATCTCTTTGGGTTTCAACTTGTTCTTGTTCCAAAATCACTTTATTAGGTGCCGCTCAAAAAGAGCAACCTAGTTTATGATATTTACAACAATGAATAATATATGAAGGTTATTCACATATTAAACAAAATGTTAACGCGGGATTCGATCCTGTTCATGACTGTCGGGAATCGAGGGTGTTACCCACTCGTACACCGACTCTTTTTTTTTAAAAACCTATCCTCTCTTGGATGAGAGATAATTCACAAAATATATATAGTTTTGTCTTAATTTACTAAAGTATAGTTTATTATATACTAAAATAATTTTTTTTTTGATTTTTTTTTATTCTTCTTATTTTTTTATTCTTTCTTATAATCTGTATATATTTACCAAATGTATATAATCTTTCTCCATTTTTTATTTCCCACTTTCATAGGTTTCTCCGTTTTGTAACCCCAAGGAGAATCCTCTGTAAGACCTGTGTGTCTTAATAAAGGCTTTTGTGTGTGTGTGTATATACTAAAATATTGAAAATAGTATAAGCCCGCATTTTTGAAAAGCATCAAATTAAAATGAAAATTAAGTTATCCAGAGAGGGATGAGTTTCTTTTGATATTTAATTTACTATTTCTAGATTTTTCTGGTTTAAAAAGGTCCTCTTTTGCAGAAGAACATGGTTAACATGGAATAATAACAAAACAAACAATTTTGCTATGTTTGAAATGATCAGAATTGGTTTTATTATTATTTTAAGATAATAATGTAATGGAAAAAAATGGGGGGGGGGGGGGTTTAACCCCGAAAGATAGAGATAGTAAATGAATGACAAAAGAAGCTATCATCCCTGGAATTATCATTTTAATTAGATATAAGGATGAATTTTGGTCGACTTGACAAGGTTGAGTCACAAGTCTAGAATGAAAAAAAAAAAACATCATAAGACAATTTTCTCTAAGATTCAAGTAATATACATATTTAGAAAGCGAATAAGAAATGAAGACAAGAAGAAACATCACCAGGTAAGTTTATCTGGTGATCATGTTAGGCCATAATATCAAAAGACATTGTGGAACAAATTTTTCTAAGGCTATCGAATGTGACCAAAAAAGAGGGCAGCCATGAGAACGACGGACAAGTACGGTTCAAGAGTCCCGTTTTAATTGGCGCAGGAGTTGCGACATCCCAGACGGAACCTTGGGACTTTTTGCTTCCATCCACCACCACGACTCGGGTTCCCTCCCATCTCCGCCAGATGGCGGGCATCCGGCAATCCACACCACTTTTGAGAAATTGGCGTGAATGTCCTCTTCTTTTCATCCCATTTAGAAGTAGACAAAACCCATTAATTATAGCAGAGTATGTTGTAATATATTTTCCACCCTTGAAACAGCGTACATTGTAGTGTTCGGGTATTTTGCTAGCATACCGAATTCTCTAAAGTTGAATTTGACTGATACACTTCTTACCTTATAATGCTAACAAATTGACGGTTTTCTTCCTAAATTCGCGAGATAATCAGATTTCAACACAAAGAAATAAGTAGAAAAATATATGAAAAATAAAAAAACGCCCGGGGACTTGAACCACGAACCGTTAGGTTAAAGGCCTAACGCTCAATCCCGACTGAGCTAAGAACTAAGTAGAATATCTCAGGATGAAGAAGAATGGAACCATTGGAAACCAGGATTTTCTAATGAGATCTGAGAAACTGTAGAAGAATCGTATTTCTGTAGGCCATTACCGAATCTAATTCTGCTGAGATCACTGCAGCTTGGAAAAATCAACTTGCCATAGCTCTAATAATGGTCGTCCATCTTTAAAATGCATTGATTACTCTTGCATCATATATTTTCTATTGCTATTAATTTTATTGGCAAAATAATAGTTGGAGTCTTCTTGGGGAATTTTGCTAATCACATCTTGTTCAAAACTTATTTTAGAGGTTTTAATATCAATTTTGTGGAAATATATTAATAAAGAGTATATCAATATATTTTTAAAGATCACCAAAATGTGTGGAGTAACTGCTAACTTAATGCAGACAATGCAAGAAATAATTTATTTAAAAAGTTCTTTTTATCTACTTTTTCTCTAAACAAAAAAGGATTTGGTTATTAATTATAGTCACACAACACAGTCAATATAAATAGAGAAAACTCTCTATAATAAATTGTTTGCTTTTGTCCGTAATAGAAAAAAAAAGAGTTTCATAAAAATATTGAAAATATCTAAAGATGAATCAACATTGTGACAATTTTTGACACTACTTTATACGACCCATCAGCTCCATCTAGCCCCATTCCCAGAATGCTATGAGCTCCAAGTAAAAGAATTATCCTATTTGCGAAACCCATGGGACAAAGTTGGTCTCATTACGTCATACAGGGTCAATTAGAAATTATCAGAAAGACGTCATGTGACTCATATCTTCTGTCTTCTGCCATCGCAACCTATCAACGATGTGTTGTCCTTTTAAATGACCTTTCTTCTGTTTTTTGTGCGGGTTCTTTCATCATATTACTCCTGTATGTCTAATTCAACGTCTTACCATAGCCAAATACATATCTAATTATGAAACAGAAATGTATCTGGTATACAAAATCCCATGTAGCTCTTCCCCATCCGTATACATAGGCGAAACAGGAAAATTCTTGGAAAGTCGAGTGAAGCAGCACAAGTCAGCCTTACAAAGACAAAGAACTCTTTTGTTACTAGTTGAGAACGTCATAATAAATAACCATAGGTTAAACTAGAATGGCAGCAAAATCATATACCATAGCATTCTATAAAGTAGGAAGGATTATATCTGGAAAGTTGGGCCTCCATAGGTGAGAAGAACAGCATAAATGGGAAAATCATAATTCCCATCACTACATTCAATTCCTAAAATTCGGCCATGGAAAATTTCACTAAAAATCCAGATGATTCGTTAACTGCTTGAAAAAGTGAAGCATTCAGTCTCTTGAAATGTTATGATTATTTTGTAATAACCTTTTTGGTTAAATCCAAAAAATGACTTATTATTGATCAGATCGTATTTGTAATCTAATGATCAACATCGACCATCCATTTTTATACTTATATATTCTTCAGACACAAAAACCTACTAAAGTTCATATGAGAATCTTTGCTTAGGCAGTTTTTTCTACTACTTGGCTATATTTATCTTTGAGTGACCAACAAAATTATCTATATAGTTAATTAAATAACATGTATGTAGTTAAATTCGACATTTTATGCTCCTCTCTGTGGTTTAAACATCTTCACATTATTAGCTATCATTTAAGAAAAAGGCATCTCGTGCAATTGAACGTTACTGATGGTTTGTTCATTCGAGCTGAGTCCATTCGTAACGAAGTCAACAGAGAAGAGGCCTTTCGACTTCATCCTATGTCTCCTCCAACCAATGTCCTTGCACATTTTCAGAAATTTCTAAATGTTCACATAAAATTATTTTTTAAATATTACTTGTCCATCTTGTTCTGTATTGAGTTTAATTCCATCCCCATTTCATACTATTTTCTTTCTTTCTGTTAGCTTGGCTTCCAATAGCATAGCGGGCAATCTCTTTGTAATTGTTCTTCTAGGGTGGGGCCATTAAGAAATGGTGCCAAAGAAAGGTCAGAGACGTGTTGAAACTGCCAGAGAAAGGTATTACGATATATTAAAAAAGAATTTACCACAAAAAGTTCAGTCATCACAGAAGTCACATCATCAATCAGATTTTCCGCAGGACACCTGGGAGGCTTCCGCCTTACTTTAACGTCCACACTTCCATTTATCACATCGCCATGATTAATGTGACTGCGGCATACCGCAGCCAGTTCAAGGTTTCTGCAAGAGTTGACAACTCAATTTTCACTTTTTGATCATCACTTTCTTCTTTGGCGGTATTACTTGGTGGTCTACCCGTTTCGATGACAAGTAACATCTCATTTTTACCTTGGGTACTAATCTTTTTTTGTCATGTTTGCTTTTTAACATGACTCTCATAGACTTCAGCTGTTCCTCTTTCCTGAGGCTTAGGAGGCAGGCGTCTCTACTGCCTTGACAGACCCACCTCAATCCTACATCCCTGCCCAAGCATTTTCAGACTTGACCCCAGCATGGAACTTTCTGGTTAATTGGTTCACTTTGTTAACCTACTCAAGCGCGATTGGAGGCGTTAGGTACTAGTTAGTACTTAGTAAATTGGACAGTCCGGTTAGTTGGCATCCTGCGCTCCAGGAACCTGGGTTATATTGATCTTTTTGGGCCTTATTAGCCGATGATCTCTATGTTGATGGCATATCCTTCTTGGGCTATTTAGAATTCTACTTCCTTAGTGATCTTTTTTTTTTTTTATGATAAGTTTAATCCTAATCTTACTTTATGCGCTTCCTGGAGAATCCAGCAAAGTTCTTTGCGGCATCTTCAATATCGACTAATTGGTAGGCTACCTTGACATAGTTACCTTTCAGTCGTGTTGTCCTGGTATTGCTCGAATATATTCCTATATCGCCTGTGTAGTAAACAACTTTAGATTTTAGTTGGAGAACTTGATCAAATCTATCTTGACCATTCTACAACCCCTAGAGGGAGACAACGTCCACCTAGACCTCTTATAGAAACGAAAAAGTAGACTTTGGAGCTAGATACTTGGCTATTTTAGAATGTCTAGATGGGTCTAATGGCCAAGATGTAACAATTGATTAGAAGAATCAATAAAATTGTTTAAGTTGTCTGTCTAATGGCCAAGACTGCCAATGGAAGATATTTAGTCTTATAGATTTCGGCTCTAGATACTTAGCGATTCTGTAATTTCTATATACCGAGAAAGTCCATCAAGAATTCATTAGGAATATGGTTAGTAGAGTTATTCTAGAATGTAAATACTCACTTTCAAATCTATATGCATAAAGATCAAAATATCTCAACATATTATAAAAGCGATGAGTTTCCTTATTGTAAACTGACAAGCTTTTGATCTAAAGAACATCAACGGGCCTAAAACAAGATGCTTGATTCTCTTCAAAAAAACTGTTGTATTATAAATTACAAATATACAAAGTTTTATTTTTTGCAGAATCTTGAATTTTGTTTTAAACGTGTTAATGATATTTTTATATAAAGCTCTCTTGCAAGTTTACAATAAGTATACTCATTGCTTTTATAATCTGATGGGATTTTTTTATTCTTATTCTAGAATGTGTAAATGGTCAAAAGAATCGTATGGTTAATGCCAAACCTCAGTTCTGTGTACTTGGCGATTCTGGAATAACTAGATATATATTAGCGAGCTGGTTCACCAAGGATTCTTATGGAGTATGCTTTTTGTAGAGTTAAGATCTAGATACTTGGCTATTATAGAATGTGTTGATGGGTAAATGGACCATATGGTTACTTCCAGACTTGAGCTCTAGCTACCCGCCCACCCGGGAATGCCCAGATGGATATACACCCCGTGGCAGACCGACCAGCTGTCTCACGTTGCCCGGGAGAGAGAAAGAAAGGAAGGAAATTAGCTGTCAAATGAAGCCCTCGATATAGCAGCTCGCCGAAATATCTTCTGCTCTTTTTTTCCCCATCCCCTCTTGTCATATCTTCCCACCCTCTATTTCCGCTCTTTTTTTTTATCCGCTAGGGGGAGGAAGTCGCATCCCTCTTAGAGATTCCCTCTCATCTTTTCATCGATTTCAAGAAACATATTTGCATCATCGACTTGTAGATCTCTTTTCTGATTGGTTGTCAGATCCTCTTTAGAAAGCGCTTCATCTCTTTTCATCAGGGATTTGTTAGATGAAGGAAGATAATTTTTTTCTCTTTTATCCTAGTTTTTGCTTTCTCTCCCTTGCTCTTTTTAGAAGACATTTTGGCTTAGTGAAGTTAAATGCATATTAAAATTCCGCTTTGTGGGTGACTTTTCTTTATAAGCAATTTGTCTATTATGTTCGTCTGCTTCCTTTAGTCGCCATATTTACTTATAGACACATATATTATTTAGATACATCGTATACGTACTGAAGAACATATAAATTCATTGAAAAAGAAATTATTTATATAAAAAGTCAAAGCATAATCTCTCTGTAGAGAATAGGTATTATAAAATATTCTTTCATAGCAATTATATCCTAAAACAATGCAAACAAAATCACAAAGTTCCTTAGTCATATATTATCTACAGGTTATTTTTCAACAATTTTGTGAACTTCTGATTATTTGAAAATGATCAGATACTTTTTTTCCTTCTAACATCCAAAAGATTATGAATTTATTGGATTAAAGCATATGGAAATAAGGAGAGGTAGGAACTATTCAACGATATTGATTTTTTAAAATAAAGGACGAATTTTTACAAAATTATTGAACCGAATGTGAAAAAGATTTGGAAAGGCTTGGCTCATCTCAGGGGTAAGCCTACCCAGCGATTTCACCAATTTAATCCACCAGATCTAAGCTACAACTATAGTATCTGTACTTGAAGGTTTATTCTTGGTGGTGCTTAAAGAAACTTAGGTAAGAGGCTTTTGTAAGAGGCTTTTTTTTTTAGTTACATATTGGAATGCCAAATATATTTAAACGTGAATCACGAAGAAACTGTTTCATCTCTCAATGGTGTAGGCATGTAACTATACGCTTAGATTCAATCAACCAACA